CGCCCCCTCAAGGCGGCGAGGCGGAGAAGACGCGAGGTCGTTCCCTTTCCTTCTCGGAGAAACAAGACAAACAAATCTGTCAAATGCGCCTCCTATTTTTAAAAATAAGGTCATCCATTCGAAATATCGCTGTATGAGTGATGTTTTGGTGTTTGTAGCATCTTGTTACACGCTTTTGCCGCCCTGTTTTATGGAATCCAGATTTCGGTTCAACATCCCTTTAAGTGCAAGTGAAACTGAAATGCCAAGAATGAGCACGTTGTCCTGAACGACAGTTGCACTGCACAAGCGCGCATGCTTAGCAACATTCAAAGCATGGAGCTTGCTCTTAAAGCCTCTGCATCAGGCTTCCTGTTGCAGCTCGTGGTACCGAAGCAAGCTTTTGGGCAGACACTTTTTTATAAGCAGAAACTTCACCTGGCACCCCAGAGCTCCAACCGGTACTCGAAGTACTTAGTTGCGGTACTTTAGATAAAACAGAAGGGCAACAGGTGAAGTAGAAACTTCACCTGCACCGCAGTGCTCCGACCAGTACTCGGAGTACTTAGTTGCGGTATTTTAGATAAAACAGAAGGGCATTGAGCAGTGCAAACTACGATTATTGTCAGGTAAGGAGTATTCAGTTGCAGTAATTGTTTTGCTTTACATACAAAAAGGCTGGAGTATGCTTAAATGCTGGGCTAGCAACCGATTGCTACCAGGGGCCCTATGCTACACGACGGGACCAAGCGGAATCAAGGGACCGGGAGCCATCCAGCGACCTGGATGCAAAGATGGGTTCAGCTTCCACGGGATTGGTGCCACCTGGATCTTGTCCCAAAGGGCCAGCAGCAGCTGGATAGCCTCGCATTGCGATGCGGGGATGGGGATGCCGAGCGAGCTCGGGGCATGCCGCCCACTCAGTGTGAGGGCCAGGTGCTCCCACTGACTGGCGAGGTGCATGTTGATGAGTTCCTGGAAGGTGTTGTTTACACTTAGCAGCCGGAGCTTGGCGTTCGACGCGTACGGCGGCACCCCCAGTGCCAGCTAGTACCCCTTGCGAATAATCACGTCCATCTTGCCCTTACCTCTCGACAGCAGGTCAGGTTGAGATACGGATTTGCGCAGGCGATGTGGCTCACGACGAGTGGTTGGGTCAGCCGGATCAGGTCCGACTCCTCGAGCCCGTGTCTGTGACTCGTTATCCTTCTCACCATGCGCATGACTTGCGTGGTTGTCTTGACGAGCCGGTCGACCGTGTACTTGGCTCCGCCGTCCCGCTGGAGGTGAAGGCCCCAAAATCCGAACCCGCTTCACCACCGGCACGGGGGTACCATCCTTTAATGTGAGGCGGATGTCCGCCTTCTTCTTCTTCGGGAATTGGCTTGCCCGCGCGGAGGAGCAACAGCTGAAACTTATCGGGGGCGCGCTGGAGGCTGTCGGCCTCGAGGTAGTTCTGCACCGTCTCAATGACTTCTTCGAGGAAGTCTTGCCTCCCGCTGTCCGATCCCGACGTAGCCCAAATCGTCAGGTCGTCCACATAGAGTGGCATAGAGTGTATGCTTCATCCGGGGAATCCGTTCCAGTAGAGGAGGCGGCTTGCACGTCGCCAGGTAACAAGGTGGGTGACAGGACCGAGCCTTGCCGGTTGCCCTTGCTCGGTATCGGGATGGTGCTTGTGCGGATGGACTCGATTCCGATGGTGGCCATCCAGTTGCTCAGGAAGTCCCGCACATAATCATACATCCGGGGCCCGCACCCAGTTGAGGCCAAGTTCTCGAACACCAGCGTGTGACTGACGTTGTCAAAGGCGCCCTTTATATCCAGGGCCAGGACCGCCCGCGTTGTCGTACAGGAGATTCTGTCAAGGATCTCCTCCTTGATCTGAAGCAGGACATCCTGCGTGGAGGTGTGACCAGTACCCGAAAGTGGTGTTCATGGTGGCATAGAGTTCAATACAGGATGGTCCCCTCAAATATCGCTGTAAACAACTCATCAGGGCATGGGCATTTAAAAAACTGAAATGGAGTGTCCAGGTCTGTGACGCTCAGCGGTATACCTGATAATTTCCATTTCTTTTGGATCCTTTTCAAAAGAGTATATTTTCCACTTCGGGGCACTTTTCTTGTTTCTGGCACTTACTACTGCAGGAACTGTTTCACCCTCACTTTCTTCTTTGCTTTCACAGCACTCATTTGATGTTAATGTGGAAGGGAATTGGCCGGATTCCACTCTTCGTTCCTACGTAAAATGTGCTGGCGTCCAATACCTGCCACAAAAAGGGTACTTAAGATTCCAAAAATGACTAAGAGTGTGTAAACATATGATGCCAGCATTTCTTTTTTTTATTTCCAATGAGCAACATTATATTATGCCAAAACTCTCCCTAAATGCACACTGCATTTCACAGCGCGCTAAACTTTGCCGGAAAAATCGGCGCCTGCACGCAAAGGGGCGTCGTTTCCTCAGCAGTGTATCTTACCTTGTGAAATTTTAAGGCGCTCCTTTTTTTTGCAGCTAGAACATCCTTAAAAATATTAAAAATGCGTTCGCCACGGACGACCGAGTCTTCCGCTGGCAAACGCTGTCGTTTGCGTACGATACGCCTTGAAATTTTCACCCCATGGTCGATCAGGCGCCAATTTTTCCGGTTGCTTTCCCATACCTTGAGCCACCCAGAAACACCGCGCGCCCCCGTAAAAAAAAAAAAAAAAAAAAAAAAAAGAATGGAACGGCATTGAGTGTTTTGTTTACTTACGACTTTGTGCGTGGACCGCGCCACGTTGCGCTGCCTGATGCACCCGCGTTTTGGAACTAAATCAGTTGACAGTTCCCTCCGAAGATGAAGCCACTGAACTGGTAGGCTACTGGTAGGCTGTTCCCTTTCGTACTGGTAGGCTGTTCCCTTTCGAACGGGCGGAAGAAGACTACGAAGAATTCGGCAGCGAACGGGCGGAAACTCGATTACGTACAGCTTCAGTAGTCGACGCTTTGTTTTCTCGATTGCGTTCGCGGCGTTCACCGTGGACTCGCGCACTCGGCCGTAGCCGAACCAGCCGAACGGCCGAACCAGCTGGACGGCTGCCGGCGCGCGTACCGACAGCGTCGCCATAGCAACCACGCCGCGAGTGTGGTTGCCAGACAGAATTCACACGATTTTTTTTTCTCGTCACTCACGTTGAGTTACTAGAAGTTAGGCGCGTATCATTATAATACATTATGCTGTAAGAAGCTATTAAGGGATATGTGTACCTACCTAAGACAAATGCAAAAAAAATATTATTGAAAACTAAAATTGGCGTAATATTTTCATATCTTGATTAAGACTCGCGTGGTCACTGGGCTAACCGATGCGCAAAATAGGAGGGCATATATACCGCTCGGGGCAATTGTTGGTTTGTATAAGTAGGTTGTATGTACTGTTTGTTGTGTGTTGTGCAATTGATTAGTGCTTGTATGCCCGTGGGTATGTACAGTGTTGTGTGTATGTCGATGTCTTGAGTGAATGTAATCGCGCAGTGGGCTGCCACAGAACTGCTGCTTTCTTTTTTTCAAATGTTTATTACTTTTTTTTTTTCGCCGCTAGATGGGGGTTGTCGCCGCCCAATTTGAAAAGTTTGGCGGTTGAAGATCTATAACTATTAGAGGGCTGGATGCCATTAGTCCATCCGTCGTGTTGATCGCTCCGAGTTGTTCGGTTCCGCTAGTAGCTGTGTCGCCGTGTTATGCTGCCTGATTACAACAAAAGGAGGTTAGGCGGCTTCCCCAGCGCGTGTTCTAGGTGCTGAATGCCGCTGTTCACGCACAAACGTTCATGAGTGGATAACGCACGTAACAGAGGTGAGCACAGGCAATAGTTAATCGAGAGCCACACGGAGCGCGAGTGCGATACCTCCTAGCCGCTGTCGACAGAGGGTGTCGGAGCGATTCGTTGTCAACTTGTCCACGCAAGTGGGCGTTTTGTTCAATAAAGCCAGCCTGTCAGTGTTTTGTAAAGCTATCCCTTCTTTATAAGCGCTTCTGATGCGATGAAAATGCGACCGGCATTGAGCAGGCCGAGCGAGACTTCGGCGACAGTCTCGGCTGTTCAGTCTCCAGCGGTTTCGGCCTTACTCGTATTATTTGCGGTGTTGGCGCTTGGACATAGATATGTTTGGAAAGTTTTTTGCGCCTACAGATGACACCAAACGAGCGTGCGAGCCGTATGCTCTTGCTCCGGCGAGAAGCCGCGTACGGCTCGCCAGGCTCGTATCGCCTGTCGCATACTGGCCGCCATATTGTTTTTAGGGTGTTAGCAGTTAACACGATTTTCACCACCTCCGGCGGCTAACACCCTTACACGAATAAAGGCGTTAGCCAGAGGACGAGCCATTTACACGAATAAGGGTGTAAAAATTTTAAGTGTGCATACGGAGAAAAAATGCCATTGACTCCCGGGCGATTGCAAAGGAGAAAGAGAGCGCGCGCTTCCAGTCCGGCCGTGCTTGGCGATGGAGATTAGGCTCCTCCCACTGGCGACGTCACGACGCAGTTTTCCACCGCTTTTTCCAGCATAGACAGGCTGAAGAAGATTGGGAATCGGGCAAATATCGATGTAGTCTTTTCCGCCCCATCAAACTCTCAGGCCTATGTAAAAAAGTTAACGCCATACCAAAAACTAATACCGGCTGCACTGTGGGCAAGGCGACAGCAAGCCTGACATGTCGCATAAATGGTTTTTTCCTTGTACGCAGTTTTGGCTGCTGCTACTGCTGTCGCACCACAGTTCATCGCCAACGGAGGACACGCGCGGACACAACCAACTGGGGACCATCTGCCTACAGGACTACGCGGCAACTAAAGTGCTCGTCACCCAGATTAAAGCATCACCTCGTCACCGAGTGATCAATGACAAGGACTACAGTCACGTGTTTGATCGGGAGATCAAAATCCTGGGAGGCAATTCAACGTCGGCCTTCGGGGCTATAAAGGCACAGCTGCACGGATCAGCGATCAGTGGGCAAGGCGAAAGCAAGCCTGACATGTCGCATGAATGGTTTTTTCCTTGTACGCAGTTTTGGCTGCTGCTACTGCTGTCGCACCACAGTTCATCGCCAACGGAGGACACGCGCGGACACAACCAACTGGGGACCATCTGCCTACAGGACTACGCGGCAACTAAAGTGCTCGTCACCCAGATTAAAGCATCACCTCGTCACCGAGTGATCAATGACAAGGACTACAGTCACGTGTTTGATCGGCAGATCAAAATCCTGGGAGGCAATTCAACGTCGGCCTTCGGGGCTATAAAGGCACAGCTGCACGGATCAGCGATCAGTGGGCAAGGCGAAAGCAAGCCTGACATGTCGCATAAATGGTTTTTTCCTTGTACGCAGGTATGTGGCAAATTTGATGATTACTCGTACCGCTCAGATGACCGTTGTTTATTGCTGTTGCCTTGCCCAAGGCGCGTGAAACTGCTCCTTGTTGCCATTGCTGACTGTCGCTGGAGAGCACTCGTGCTTTTAAGGGGAGGAGATGTCGAAGAAAATCCTGGCCCAGATAGAGATATAATGCGGGAAATACTGGAAAGTCCGAAAGAGATGGTGGCTAACATATCAACATTGGTACAGGGTCAGAAAAGCTTTGAAAAACGATTAGAGGCTTTTGAAGCGTCTACTTCCAAGATAAAGGATCTCAGTAGGGAGCTAAATGACACACAAGGAAAACGAGTGCACTTAGAAGCGACCGTAGTAAAGCTCGAGTCAAAGATCGATGACTTGGAAAATAGAAGTAGGAGAAATAACTTGGTAATCTACGGAGTAGAGGAGTATAACGCAGAAACGGAGCAACATTTGGTGGAAAAAGTGGTGGAAGGCTTCTTTAAATCAAAAATGGGCGTTGAAGTTAAATCTCTCGAAAGAATTCACCGTCTCGGAAGGGTGGCTAGGGATAAACCGAGACCAGTAATCTTGCGCTTTGGATACTATAATGAAAGGCAAAATATTCTCAGAAATGCTAGAAAATTAAAAGGAACGCGCATATTTATTAACGAGGACTTTTCGAAAAATGTTAGAATGATAAGGAAAAAACTGTGGGACAGTGCGAAAGAAAACAGGGAGAGGAGAGAGAAGGTATACTTACCGTATGATAGATTGAAGATTAATGGAGTGACTTACACATGGTAAGTGGATACAAACCAGGGAGTTCAACTTTACTCAGCCAGAGAAGAACCTTCACCCGAGCATGATAATTGACAGGCATCTGATTTCCCACAGGCAAAAAGTGTCCTATTTATTAACCTTAATGCAAGAAGTATCGTAAATAAAACCCTCGAGCTAGAACATATTTTAATAGAGCATGACCCCGATGTAGTAGCTATCACTGAAACCTGGTTAGACTTGTCTGTGACAGATGATACAATAATACCTCCCGGTTACGTGCTCTATCGAAAGGACAGAGAAAGTAGAGGAGGGGGTGTTGCTCTAGTAGTCAAATCTTGTTTAAATGGAATGGAAAAAATGGAAAAATGGAAAAAAAGTGAGTTAATTGTGGGAGTACTGTATCGACCCGCGCAAATGCCATGTGGATATTTGCAAGAACCAAGTGAGTTCCTCTTTAAACTGAAAGCAAGTTCCAAGAAGGTTGTTTTAATGGGTGATTTTAATCTCGGTGGAATTGACTGGGTAACGTTAGGATCTGGGGACCACGAAGTATCATGTGCTGAGGAACTTTTATATATAGTTTTCTCACATAATTTAACTCAAATTGTCAAGGGACATACCAGAGTACAAGGGAAATCAGAAGCTCTTTTGAATTTAATATTTATAAATGAGAACCTTATAAACTACGTGTATGATTGCAAGATTAGCCCGGAGGTTTCGGACCACAGCACTGTACATTTTACGCTGTCCTTAAAGCCTATGCTCAGGAGAATTGAAATTACTTCGTATAAAAACTTTGAAAAAGCCAATGACGAGTCAGTTATTGATCAACTTAGCCTGAACTATGATAACTTCGAGCACCTAGCTGGCAACCCGTTGATAGAAGTGAATGACCTATGGCTCAATTTTAAGGAAATGATACTTGAATGCACTCGTAAGTTTGTCCCTGTGGAAATAAGAAAGAAAAACTTGAACAGTCCTTGGATTACAAGGGACATAATCCACCACAAAAGACGATTATCAAGGTGTAGAGCAAGAGCACGCAAAAAACGCGACGGGTTCCAGCAGGCAAAAATACAGTCACTGAGCAAAGAGCTGAAAGCAAAAATAAAAACTTCGAAAACGATTTTCTTTAATGTAAAAATGCAAAACTTTTTGAGATATTCACCACAGAAGTTTTGGCGACAATTAAAACCAAGTAAAAAAAAAATACCAAAGTGATAGTAGAAGAAGAAGTGATTGAGGACAAGACTGAAATTGCGAATTGCTTTAACCAATATTTTGTCAGTGTATTCTCCGCTGATAATAACATTTTACCAACATTTTGTTTTTTTGAGAATGTGCCCCCAATCGAAGACGTGGAGGTCTCAGAGGAAGGAATTTTTTCACAGCTACTTCTTATCGATCCAAAGAAAGCCGCCGGACCGGATGACATTCATAATCAATTTTTAAGGCGTTATAGCGAATGGTGTTCAAAATATCTCTCGATCATTTTTAATAAATCGCTTTCAGATGGGTCCGTCCCCAATGACTGGAAGCTGGCCAAAATAATACCTATTCTTAAGACTGGAAATGCTTGTAAGGTCACGAATTATAGACCCATATCATTAATATCTACTTGTTGTAAAATACTTGAGCATGTTGTTTCGAAGCATATAAGGATGTTTTTAGATACCTACTTTGTACTTGATGAAAAACAGCATGGATTTCGAAAAGGCCTGTTTGCTACGACTCAGTTAACAGAATTAATTCACGATTTTTCTTCGACCCTTGACAGAAGAGGACAAATTGATGTAATTTTTTTAGACTTTCAAAAAGCATTCGATAAGGTAAACCATAATAAATTACTTTTCAAGCTCAGGCATTTACTAAAAAACACGAAAGTTCTGCGATGGATAGAAATGTTTTTGTTTTGTAGAAGGCAATTTGTGAGCATTGATGGTCACGCTTCTATGCTTCGCGGGGTCGACTCGGGAGTCCCCCAGGGTTCTGTACTTGGGCCCCTGTTATTTTTGGTTTTTATCAATGACGTTCTTCGCGATATTACAGTAAAGGCACGACTTTTTGCTGATTATTGTATATTGTATACTTACATAAACGATGATTCTGACCATGTTGAACTAAACGACTGTTTGCAGAAAATTAGCAAATGATGCGAGATCTGGCAAATGTCTTTAAATACTGAAAAAACAGTTTGCATGTCAATAACACATAGGAGAGTTCCTTCTGTGTATAACTACTACTTGAAGAGTAAACCATTGTCTAGGGTAGATGAATTTAAGTATTTAGGAGTAACAATAACCAGTGATTTAAGTTGGAACAATCATGTTAGTAATATAATAAAAAAATCCACAGCTAAACTCTGGTCACTAAGAAGATCATTAAAATTGGCAACCACTGAAACTAAATTGCTAGCTTATAAAATGCTAATAAGTCCTAGATTGGAGTATGCTAGTGAAGTTTGGGATCCCCACACAAAAGGTTTAATATTGAAATTAGTAAAAGTTCAAAGAATGGCACTGTGTTTTATTTTTTCGAAGTACAGAAGACTGGATTCACCAACTGAGCTTTATTCTAAGGCAAGTATCTCCTTATTAGAAGAGAGGAGAAAAAATAAGCGTTTAAAAATGTTTTTCATGATTTTAGATGGCACACTGCAGATTGATAAACATAGATTCATCAAACCCCATCTATCTAGAATCACACGTAATAAGCATACTAGGACAATCGAAGAGTACAAATTCAAGAAAGAATGTTTCAAGAATTCGTATTTCCCTCGGACGATAAGGGAATGGAATAAACTTGCTGAAAGCGTTGTTAAATGCAAAACTGTTTTGAATTTTATAAAGTGTCTCCCATGTAACTAATAGACCTCATGTTATCATTTTTGCTGTACTTTGTGCTTTTGATACGAGTATTAGGTGTCGTATAGTCCCTCATTTTTTGTCATTGTATTCTGCATGTGTATTACATTGTCTACTGTTTTTTTGTACTCACTCCTATCACAGTCCCCACTGGGGGACTGATAGCATTATGAAATAAATAAATAAATAAATAAATAAATAAAAAGCATAGACCCCCACACATACCTTGCTCAGAAGGGAACATAACAACCACACCCGATTAGCAAACTCAGGACTTTTGGGCATTCACTGACGTGACAGTGGGTGCACTGCGGACTTCAAAAATAGCACCGTAATTCGAAAGAACCATCACCAATTAACACATGAAATAATAGAGGCAGCTGACACCATAAGAAGGAGTGATACTTGTGTTAGCAATCCATCCATAACGCTTACTGAAAAAGAATTGTTATATCTTGACTCTCGAAGGTAATGTGCGATAGACATTGCTATTTGTTTGTACATAAGAGAACGAAGTGAGACATGACAAGTTTAATACGGGTAAAAGAAAAAGAAAGAAGACGAAAATACAATTTGAGTTTTAAGTCAGTGCGACGTGAGTGACCGTTTTTCAGGTGTGCGTGCATTTTCAGCGTGAGTGAGTTTACTTTTGCGCTTCTCCTACAATACGGCAAGATACGTTTCTAGAGGTATTCGAGTGGCAAGCAACAGACGCCTACGTTTGTTTCCTGTGTTAAGGCGAAGAGCTCTGGTGAATTTTTGTAGCGAGGAGTCGGGAGGGGTATTCGGGTCACGTGACCATTTCTGTTGCAAAAGAATCAAGGCGAACCCGTCGAGCCCGCCAAGCAGTCAAAGTATGTCACGTTTACGTGATTCTCGTGTTGTATAAACTAGGATAAATATGGGCTAGGATAAATATAATTTCGCCAACATGAAAGTTGTCGTAGTTTGTAATTATAAAATAAATTAATGCTTATGTTGAGAGTGAAGTCAGTGTAAGGTGCGTAATCATATGGAAAACATATTTTGCCGTTTATAGTAATAAAAGTCAAGAATGTTTCGGTTGTTTTCCCACGAATTAATATTCAAATTACTACCATGGAAAACAATATTTTAATTCGGTTGCGTTGTACAGCAGTTTATCGAGTAAACAAAACGAAAATCTCAAATCTTCGCATGGCGGGTGATACACAAGATCAAATATGCAAATGTTCTTCGTATTCAAATAATTTTATAAGAATCTATAACAGGTTATACTCCGTAACAATGTCAAAATCATCACTCGCTCTTCTCCGACCTATGAACGACAGTCCTTCCAGGTACTTTGAGCCCGTTTATCCTCATGAAGCTGCTCACGTGATTGTCTCCAAAATACAGTTCTTGGGTCCTCCTCTACGTGACATTTCTACGTAAAAAAAAAGTTAATTGATACATCGGACGTCTCATTCTGTCAGAGTTCACAGAGGGAAACTTTATGAACAGAGCGTTATTTCGACGTTTACACGTAGAGACAAGCGTGCAACATCCTTGCAAACCCGAACAAACCGACTTATCAAAAACGACCTGGGAATTTCCTGGGACACAGCGATCTTTGTAAACTAGAATTAATGCCCCACCATAAATAAATTGCTTGGAAAAGTCGGAAAAAGCTCGACGCATCAACCGCGTCAAAATAAGCTAAATCAAAATTGCTGAGTATTGCTATAACCACTGGTTTACTGATTTGATATTGCAGTAACAGATTTGTTTCTGACATTATATATCAGTAATGACGCGGATAAAAATGCAATCTTTTTTAAACTGCTCTACTTGGATGTTCTTTCAGTTATATTTACGTTGACGACCTTGCGTTTTTTATATGATTAAAATCTTCCTTATATGTTATAATGTTCACCGAAACGTTGTAACGAGGGGATAGTGAGCTTTCTTGCTTTTCCCATATGTCAACATATGTTTCAAAATTGTGTCTCTAGACGTGAAAATGGCGTTTCCATGCTAGTCGCATGTGATAATTTTGAAACTGTTGCAAAATTTGCACCTTGTTACGTTCCTAAACCCGGCGAGCTTGTGCATGCCCCAACAGCGGTACACTTACCGAGACAGTTCGCAACGCCATCGCTCGACAGAGACCCCCTCGAAGATCCGAAACCATGGCTTTTA